CTGGGAGAAGTTCAAGCCTGGTTTAGAAGAGGCTGTGACATCAGCATTGCTGATGGCAGACACATCCTGGCTGAAAGCCAAGAATCCAGAAGAATTTCTATTAGTACTTTACTGACTATGCAATGACATTTGACTAAGCTGATGTATACATAATTTGTTCTGCTTCGTAGACATCACTTCTCAGAAGTGCCAAGTCTGTTGCACAACAAAAATGGTGGCAGGTACTAGCAATTACTGGGAAGATCTCAGGAAACAAGCTCGACAGCTTGAGAATGAGCTTGACCTAAAACTAGCTTCCTTTAATAGACTGTGTACCAGTTACAGCAGCACTTGAGACAGCAACAGTTCAATACAAAACCACTTTTAAATGGATCAAGCCAAGACATAATGTTTGAAACAATGGCAACTGAAACTCAAAAACTTTTGGCAAGGTTTACTGGAGTACATGATAAAATGGCAGAATATACCAACAGTGCATGTGTTCCCTCCTTGACTGCTACATTGATGCATACATTACAGTGGCATAGAAACATACTGCAGGATTATACACATGAATATAAAACCAAAGCAAACTTTACAGCAGTAAGAGAAAGGAAGAATCTTATGGGATCAGTACAAAAGGTTATTGAGTCATATAAAAGTAGATCTGGGGTGAACAATAGAAGAACTGAATTTTTGAAAGAACATGACCACCTCCAAAATTCAGATCAAATGACAGAACAAACTATAGCAACAAAATGACTTTACAGAGGGGAATGTTGAAGTCAATTGAAAGCAAAATGAACACCTTGGCCAACTGTTTTCCTGCTGTGAACAGCCTGATCTAACAGTCAACCTTAGAAAGTGGCGGAACTCGCTCATCTTAGGTGGTGTGATAGGCGTGTGAACCATCCTGTTGCTACTGTATGCTTTCCATTGATGGAACACCTCCAGGACTCTTGGCAGCCACTGATTTTGTGCCCTGGTTTGGAATAAGCAAAAGATGGAGGGAGAAGCTGTCTGTCTTGTTAATCAGTCTGACTAGGAGTGTTCATTCAAGACTGAGACTGATGGACTCTGATGTGGTCCAACTGAAATAAAGCCAGTTTTCTTAAGAGTCTTTTCTAACACACATTTCTCCATTTTCAGTTTTAAGAAAAAAAATTTTTTCCCCAGTTCTCACGTCTAGCCAGGAAATAAATAAACCAGTCAGGAAAGAAAAAAAATCAAACAACAAGTGCCAAGTCAACGTTAGCCTAAATGCTTGATTTGCTGCACAGCTCCATGATTTCTGATGGAAGCAGCTCGTCCTTTGTTCATTTCCCTAGCTTCTCTAAATCTCTTGGGCTTGGTGATTCACTGGAATGACCCCCAGACACTAAGATGTATTTAGATATGCAGGCCAGTTTTGCAGAGACTGGTAAGCATTGTATATCAGGCATTCCTAAAAGAGAGTTATAGCACTGAGGTCCTTATAAAGAACTTATATAAGCCTCTAGTATGGTGAGACTTGTTATTGTATACCATCAAGTCCAAAATGACCCATAATGGATCTTCCAGCAGTTTTTCAGAGGCAGTTTAATGACATGGAAGGATATGGCACATCTTTCTCTGGTGGAGCAGGTTGTAGATTGGAATTTCAGGGCTTCCGGAGTGCAGTGTAATTTCTTACCAGGGTCATCAAAGCTTCTCTCTCCTTAATAAATACTTTAGCACAAAATATACAGTTAACCACTGGCTAGGAAAGACATTTTGAATGATAAATCTTAGACACTCCAGAGTGAGTCGTAACAAATTATGGCTAACATTGAGACGAATAGGGATCTAAGAATATCTAATTGTGCTCATGGAAAACTTGTACCTAGACCAGGAGGCTGTAGTGTGGACAGAACAGGGGAACATTCCAGGTTTTTGTTTTTAAATTTTACATTAGTTTGTATATAAAATTCCTATGTTTCACTCATGTACATTGTTTCATATATTCCTTAATTCATTGTGTCTCATATGATACATGCACACTTTTGTTGATGTTATGCAGATGACACAACTTCATTGCTTAAAGTGAGAAGGAACTGAAGCAATTATTGCAGAAGAGCAAAGAATACAGCTTTCAATATGGATTCCATCTCAATGTAAAGAATACAAAGATTCTTACCACTGGACAGATAGGCAACATCATGGTGGATGGAGTGGAGAATAAAACTGTCAACAATTTCATCTTTTTTGGATCCACAGTTATCATGCTTGGTACCAGCAGTCAGGAAATCAGGAGATGTACTGCTCCAAAAAAGTCTGCAGTTACGGACCTCTCCAAATTATTGAGATGTAATGATGTCACCTTGCAGACTAAGGTGTGTCTGATTCAGGCTATGTTCTCTTTGGTCACTTGCTATGCTTCTGAGAGCTGGACAATGAACAGGGATGACAGAATGATGCCTTTGAGCTGTAGTACTGGAGAAGAGTACAACCCATAGACTGACAAAAGAACATACATGTCTTGTAGAAGGTGCAGCTGGAGTGCTCTTTGGAGGCAAAAGTGATGGGGCTTCACTTATGTACTTTGGTTATGCTGTCCTGAAGGACTATTTTGGAGAGGGATATGCGGCTCAGAAAGGTAGAGGGTTCGTGAAGGAGAGGAAGGCCCTGACCAGGTAGACTGACACCGTGACTGCAGCAATGGACTCTAGTTTGTCCGAAGTGTGAGGACGGCACAGAATAAGACAGGGGGTCAGATCTGTTGTTCATAGGGTTCAATGAGTTGTATCTCACATGATGGCACCTAACAACAAGAACGAGGGAGACTCGGGTGAAATGCAAACGATTAAGCATAGAAATGTCTGCAAATAAATTTTTTCTGAATTGGCGGTATTTTTAGATCATCAGCCCATTGCCCAAAGCAAACAGCTGTTTCAGTCTATTTAAGCATGATCAAAGACTTTTAGGGTAAAGTACTACTTGGCATCCAAGAGGACAAAAGGTTGCAAGTGTGCTGCTCCAGTCCTGTAAGTCAGAGTACCCTCTAAATCACCCTAAAGCTTAGGCTCTACATGTTATATAAGGGGACACTGACAAGCTAACTTATGGCTTAGTAAAAAAGTAAAATAACTCGCGCGAGGATTTTATTAATCTAAAACAAGTATAGTCGGCTATTAAGATTTATGGGAACAAAGTCTTGCCAGCACCTTTGGGCAGAGCAACAACTTCTGTATAGCTAGGAGACCAAGTTCTGAAAAGGAGGCCTTAAAACATCAAATGAGACTTGACCCTTTAGGACTATTTCAGGAATTTCTATGGTCATTGACTTAAAAGAATCCCTTGCTCTTTTGTTCTCCAATCATAGACTAGTATTGCTGTGTTCCTCCATGTCTCCCTTTGCAAAGTATTTTCTGTAATAAGTCCTTTTGTTGGACTTCATAGAAAATCCTAGATTCCTGTTTTGTTCTTATTTAACAAGAACTCGATGGCATAGCAGGTCTGTTGCTCAAAATGGCTCTCCTAGCCCACTGCCCTCCACTCTGGCTCATGGCTAGTGAGAACATGCAAAGAAGGTCTATTGATCTCTGAGGGGATTTGCCAGTTTCACCATCATGCCAGGTTTAAATCTGGCAGGTTCAGCAGCAGCAATTTTGGGAATCTCACTACCAGCAAAGCATCAGCAGCAGAACACTGCAGAATGTGTTCTTTGGGCTCAGAGCGTCACACCTACAGAAGAGTGGCAGCTGCAGCAGAGAACCAGTAACCCACGCTAGACACAGCTGACCTGGAACTGTTGCCCCATGACCAAGATTACTGCAGGTTGGGATAAGGGGTATATATTGTACTTGGCAGCACTGAGAGAGCTTTTTAACACTGGCTTAATGCTGCAAGGCTGAAGGGCCTGAAAACACACTTCACAAGTTGTCCTGAGAAATTATATCCTATTGCCAAACTTGAATTGGAATCTACTTTCCTAAATAATCATGAATATGATTCTGTGAAGTGTGTGGAGCTATTCCAATGGACTTTAAACCCTGGAGAGCAGCAGGCATGGTGCTGGAATTAGAAGTGGGTGTAGGAACGTGGGGAACTTGTCTGACCTCATGGGAACTGGTTTTCTGTTTGTGGATACTCATGATAGGATACTTACCCATTGTGGAGTTAATTCAGGTCAGAAATGGCTGTCTGCACATTGACCTTGTTCTTTGCTCTACCCACATTTAAGAAGTGCACTGGAGACATTTTCTTTGTGACCACATTTAGGGAATAGTGTGACTACATGCTCACCTCCCATTTTGGATCTTCTATAAGAAAACATCTTTTCAATGTGAATCAACATTTCAGACAAAAGTGGGATGAGGAGTGACTCTATGGACTTAATTTGAAGAATGGGCCCATCAAATTCACACTGTACCCACATGTCAAAGAATACAAATGAAGGCCCTAGTCCTCTTTATCTGCTTCAGCATCTGGATGTCAGAAAGACATGCTCTGGAATCCTAGTGATAAAGGCCTGAGCTGATGCTATTCCTGCGCGCAGCAATTACACCTTCATTGTCAGAAAACATGAAGCAAGTATGACGTTCATTTTAAGAACCCAATCAACTTCCATGTTCAAAACAAATGTAGATTCCACTTTTCAATCCAGGCATACAGAGATAGAATATTTAATTCTGAAGGTGATTCTAAAAGCTCAGTATTTGTCACTACACAGGCAAAGACAAGGGCTAAGAGTCTGGCTATGGAGAGGACTTCTTCTCTAAATAGGATTTCTGGTATCTGTCAAAACTTGAGCTCCTGCTGAAACTTTTCCCAAAGCAGAAACATTTACAAGGTTTCTGTATTATGTGGACCCTTTGATGTCAATAAAGTCGGACTTAAGAAATTTTTTTCATAGATGGGACATTTATAGCATTTCTCTCCTGTGTGGACCTCGTAGTGTCTAAAAAAGGTTGAGCTGTCAATGAAACTCTTCTCTCCTGTGTGCTCCTGCTAGTGTATATTAAAGTTGAACCACTGATTGAAACTCTTTTCAGAGAACACTTCTAGGATTTATCTCCTGTGTGGACTTGCAGATGTCTATTAAAGTTGAACCTCTGAATGAAACTTTTTTCACAGAGAGGACATTTATAGGGTCTCTCTCCTGTGTGGATCCGCTGGTGTCTATTAAAGTGGGACTTCTGAATGAAACTCTTTTCACAGAGAGAACACTTATAAGGTTTCTTTCCTGTGTGGACCCACTGGTGTCTATTCAAGTCAGAACTCTGAATGAAACTCTTTTCACAGTGGGGACATTTATAGAGTTTCTTTCCTGTGTGGATTTTTTCATGGTGACGTAATCCAGAAATATCCCTGAAGCCTTTCCCACAATGATCACACTTGCAAGGCTTTTCTCCTCTGTGGATTCTCTGATGCTTAACATAGTCTGAACACCGCAAAAAGGCTTTCTTGCAGGTGGGGCACTGAAAATATGTTTCTCCAGTGTGAGTTCGCTGGTGAAATACAAGCTGAGAGTTTCTACAGAAGGTTTTCCCACACTCTTTGCAGGTGGGAAGGTTCTGGGTCCTTGGAGGTCTCAGCTGGTCCTTCTGAGGGATGTCTTGCTTTTTGAGCCACAGCACAGGCAGGTCTCTAGGGTGGGAATCAGGCAAATGCTGGCCTACCTGCTTCCCAGAAACCTTTTCCTGAGGAGAGAGCTGCTCCCCACTCTCCTCACCTTGGAGGTGTCCTTGTACCTTAGGGAGATAATCTCCTTCTCCAAACCATCTTTGTGCATCTTCACCAAAGAAGTCACTCAAAGAACCCTGAGAAGGAACCCCTCCTGAGATGTGACAATGGGAATCTTGATGCTCTTGGTCCCAACAGGTTTCCAAGTTTAGGCTCTCTTTGCTACTCTCCTGTCTTTTTCCTAAAAGAAAAAAAGAAAATCTGAAATATTGTAGTACATTTTACACCCTTTTTTCTCCTTCATATGCCAAGTAAACAGCATCAGAAAACATGTAATCTTTTTATCAAGATGACATTGATGAACAACGTGGTAAAAATTATCATCCATACTGAAGGCCTGGCCCTATATTTGCTTTTCCTGCATTCCAGATTAAGTTTTCCACTCAAGCTGGGGAGAATTTGTGAGAAACTAATTAGGGCCCACAGGAACTTTATTGGCCTCTCCACAATTAAACTGCATAGATTTATTTTCACGCAGTGGGGAAAACTGTTTTATGAAACATACTGACTTTGTTCTTCTTAAATGACTTGTCTTACTTAGTTATATATTACAGAGAAATATCATTAAACAGTTTTTGAAGAGGCACAAAAATTACCGAAGAAAACCAAAATCACCTTCAGTCACATCCTCAGGAATAACTATTAGTAACTTTTATTTCCTGTCTTTTTTCAAAAGACCACACTTGTTCTCTTCTCCCATACTGCAAATATATTTGTCATGCTTGAATTAACCAAATTATGCCATTCATAAATCGTATAGACATTCTCCCATTCACATAGCATCAAACTATTAATCAAAGCTGTAATTTATCACATTACCATTGGAAGCTTTAGTGTTGTGAAGCTATGGCATAAAAGTTAATACTTTAGGCTGTGGTTTTAATGCAACATCCATAATTAACTCCCAGAAAACATAATATTTCTACCCTAACTCTGATGTTGCTTAGTATCACTAATAATTAGACACATTTTAGATTTGTATTTGTTTTTTAGATTTCTCATATATTAGTTCATTCATTACTCCCAGAGATCTAAAGAAGCTTTTTACCTTTTTCTTCCATTTATCAGTGTCTTTCCAGGCTAACATTAATTAAGAGATAGGCCTGAATGGCAAAGGTGCTTTCTCTTGTCTTAAAAGACTGTTTAAAAAAAAAAAGACTGTTTAAGTAATTTTTCTTCATTGGTCTTTTTCTGTATTTCTGATCAATACTTTAATAAAGGTTCTGAGGAGGACCTCATGCACTTGCTGCGGAGGGTTAAGGACTGCAGCCTTCAGTATGGACTGAGGCTCAATGTCAAGAAGACAAAGATTCTCACCACTGGGCCAATTGGCAGCATCAGGATGGATGGCGAAGAGATTGAGATTGTTCACAGCTTCAGTTTGCTCGGCTCCACAGTCAACACTCTTGGCACCAGCAGTCAGGAAATCAAAAAGCGTATCGCGATGGGAAAGTCTGCTGTTAGGGACCTCTCTAAAGTACTCAAGAGCAACGGTGTCTCTCTGGAGACTAAGGTGCACCTAATACAGGCCATGGTCTTTGCAATCGCTTGTTATGCATCAGAGAGTTGGACAATGACTAGGGAGGACAGAAGGAGAGTTGAATGCCTTTGAGCTGTGGTGCTGGAGAAGAGTATTGAATGTACCATGGACTGCCAGGAAAACAAACAGATTCATCCTGGAGAGGATTAAACCAAGCAACTCCTTGGAGGCAAGGATTCTGGGGCTCCGTCTGACATACTTTGGACATGTTTCCAGGAGGGATGGTCCCTGGAGAGGGACATCATGCTTGGGAGGGTGGAGGGATTGCGCAGGACGGGAAGACCCTCTATGAGATGGACTGATTCGGTGACTGGGGTAATCGGGATGGGTGTGTCGGAGGCAGTGTGGTTGGCGCAGGATAGAGCAGGATTTAGGGCTGTTGTGCATAGGATCGCTATGAGTCACAGATGACTCGACGGCACATAACAACAACAACAACAACAGTGGTTGGACTGTGCCCCCCTCACCTGACTCCAATGTACAATGTTCTATGTGTGTCAGAGTAAACTGCCCTCCACAGGGCTTTCAGTGGCTGAGTTTCTCACAAGTAGGTATCTATATGTTTTTCGGAGGCACTGCTTCAGGGACTTAAGTCTGACCTCTCAGCTTCAGCTGAGTGTTCTAAGGGTTTCCACCATCAAGCTCCACACACCTGTGGCTGGCTAATTTTTGGAATAACTGTGACATTTTTGGGCATAAATGTTCACTATATAAGTATTGAAAGCTTTAAATATAAATATTTGCTATTTGTTTAGGTTTAAACTTGTTTTAAATTTTAATTCCTCAAGTATTCAAGTATGAAACTACTCTACACTTTTCAAACTTCAAGGTTTCTTTCCATACGTCATTGAAACAGTATTTTTAATCTCGTTTAATTCTTTCTTTATTAAATACAAACACGCAATGATCTGTTAAGAGTCACAGAAAGTTTTCTTTCAATTTCTGTAACTTTGAGGTTATTATTTTTTATGCAGAGAAATGTTCTTTTCTTTTCAGTCTAGTGAAACCTTAATCTTTTCCTTAATTATAATTGCTTTCATATTTAATATTTAACATAAATTTGTTTTCCTCAATCATCAATTATATACTTTTATATCTTTTAACTGATGTTTATTATAGTTTCTTGTGTTGTTGTTGGATGCTGTCTATTTTATTGCTACTCATATCAAGTCAAGAGTTATCAAGAAGGGAAGAAAGATGTGGCAATCTATTTCCATCCAGATTCTAGCCTCCAGAACTCCATGGAGCAGTTGTGATGAGTCAGAACAGACTCCAGCAGATGTCGGCATGTGTTCTGGTGGATGGACCTGGGCCAAAGAAAACTTTCTCCACCTCCTTGTGTTCTGCCTTCTCCTGCTTCTCATCCTTTGCCTGCCTGCCTCACCCCGTCCATCTGCACATACCATTGCTGTGATGTCCCACCTGGAACCTCTCTGCTCATCTACATTCCATTAGTGAGCATTCATGTTACTCAGTCCAAGGTTTTCTCCAATAGCACCATGCCCTGCCTCCTTTGTCCTCTGTCCAGTAGAAGGCCCATGCCACATGAGAAGACCTCTTTGCCTGATCTAGGCCCACCAGCATTATTTCCCTCAGTGAGACCTAACACTCGGAGGGAAAGAAGACTTCTGAATGGTCCCTTATGTTTAAAGGTGCCATCCCACTGACTAAGTGACAACATCCTCTCTGCCCTTCCCACACAGGGTTTTCCCCTCACTGTCCCCTGGTGGCAGACAGGACCTGGCTTCTATCCTCGGGGGCAGTGCTAGCACAATCTGCCAAAGTACTGAGATCATATTCTCTTCCCCTGTGCACCTCATATGCTTCTATGTGTAATTTTTTTCTTTGTTTTTATGACTTTTTTTTGGTTTTGGAGCAATTTAAACTTCCAGTTGTTTATTTTCACAAAAGAAAATAAAATTGCAGTTGCAAGAAAAAAAAGAGTTATCAAGACCAGTGGTTTCTTAGCTCAATATTTATGGTAGTAAATCGTTAGGTCCTTGTTCCACAGAGCTGCCAAGGAGGCTCAATACATCAGCCTTCTGGTTCCATGAGGATCCTTATTTTGGTAAAAAACTCAGCTCACTACCATTGAGTCTGAACTAACTCATGGCTGACCTTCTAGCTGATGTTGAGAGGCTCACAGGGGAGGAGACAGCCCATCTTTCTTACTCAGAGCAATGGGCAGAGTCTAACCTGTTGTCCTTGGGTTAGCAACAAGACTATACCCATTAGGCTACCAGAGCTCCCTTATTTTAAGTATTAATATATAATAAAATCTAAGAAACAACTTCTCTCATAGTTTTCCCATGTTGCGCATTCAACAATGACTCATGCCTATTAATTTGTTATGAATTATTAATTTGTTTCAATGGTTGATTTTCCAGAAAAGTGTACCAGGGTTTTATACCAAGGGACCCTTGGCAAATTAAAAATTTCCCCCTTTTGGTTTGCATCCAAACTTTTAACTGTTTGTACCACCTACTGACTTGATACTTGTGGAGTTTATTATTGAAAATGCCTTTCAATCCACTGATCTTGGTCATGTGGAATTTGCAGGAATATGCAAATAGGACATTAGAGCCTATCTACATGGGATATCCATCAATCCAGAAGGAGATTGGCTAGGCTAGTCATTAAATTGAGTGACTCCGCAGCAGAAGGAGACCCCATTAGTGAAGAAGAAGCAAGAGAATGTTGTAAATCCTTTGGACCAAGAAATTCTTGCTCTAGCTGTATCTACAGCAGAGTAGCCATATTCAAACCAGAGAATCAAGATGAAATGGTGCTACCCTGGCAATGGTACTGCCCGCCCCCCTCCATGGATAGAACCAGAGCTAAGCTAAGAGCCATTGCTAAAGTTTGTTGGACATCTGGGGGATGGGGGCCAGAGTGCCAATACTGGCAGGACTGAGAACTTAAGTAACATGAGTCTAAGGCCAAGAGGCTCAAGGCTGAGGTACTTGCAAGTCTATATTTCAGAAGCTGTCCTGATTGAGTGATTGTATTCAACTGTTGTAGTTGTTGTTGAGTTGGAACCCACCAATAGCTGATGCTCCAGCAGATGTTCAGAGCCAGCAAATCATAAGGAAGGAGACTATCTATCCTTCTGAGGAGCACCTGGTGGATTTGAACCTTATGTCTTTGGGATTGTAGCACAGTTTATTTCCACAACTCCACCAGAGATGTCTATGAATTATGACAGGAATTATAGAGATGAAAGTTTGTGAGTGGATACTAAGGGCAGGAGGAGAGCAAAAAGTCATCAGTTTTAGAAGGGCTGAATTGTATTTGGCTACTAACCAGAAGTATAGCCTTTAAAAAAATATTTTGTTGTTGTTATAAATTTTCTTTGGCTTTTCCCCTCCCTTCCCCTGGCCCAAACAGCAATGCATCCCTGTTCTAGATTGTTGTCATACATACAATGCCTAATCATATATTCTTTTATGACAGTTTTCCCCCTCATCTGTTCTAATGAAGTGTTCATTATCTATCTACTCTTTTACTATTCTCTTTCCCTCCTATTTTATAACAGTGGTGTTATGCAGTATTTGCCCTCTTGTGACTAAGGTATTTCACTCAGCTCAATGTCCTCCAGGGTCACCCAGGTTGTGTAATGTAGTACAAGCTGTTTTTCAATG